GGGCTCCGTCAGGTGACCGTCACCGAGGTCCTGCCCTGACAGCAGCCTCGTGCCGGCCCGGGTCAGAAAAGAATGCTGGGGCCTGGGTGGGGGTCGCGGGGCAGCGGAACGCGAACCGGGTTGCTTGAGTCCACACCACCCCCACCTCCACCCCCACCTCGCCACCCCACAGCCCCCTCCAACCTGGGATTCCCCCAAGGACAGAAGCAGATTTCGAAACCAAAGAGAAGGCTTATTACCCTGCCAGTATTTTCTTCAAGCTTCAGGCACTCAAAGCCTCTTATTGCCCTGAAACATGCCGCTTTTACACGTCTCCGTTCTTCTCCATCCTCGGAAGTCCAAATTCCAGCTCGCGAATTATGCCTGATACCCACCTGTGCTCCTCCTCCTTTTCAGCACAACCCACCGGCCAGTGTATGTCCAGGGTCCACTTCCACCCGCAAGCCTGTGCTCTCCTGCGTTATGTAACTCCCCAGTCACTTCCCAGACTGACACAGCAAGATTTTGCCTGAGCTGCAGTTAAGGACAGCCCAGATGTTTTAAAACTTTCAGTCCTGTGGCAGTCCCCTGGTGGTGCATGACCGCCTCTGGCACCTACCTCCGATCCCTGCTCTTAACATGAGAAGATGTGGACTCCAGCCTACATCCAAGATTTTGAACCTTAGTCCATACCTTGCTCATTTCTATCCTTGCTTCTCAAAGTAAGCAATTTCAAAAGCAGTCAGACTGGCTTTCTTCATTGCCCCAGAAACTAGCGAGGCATGTTTCTAAGGGAAACAAATTTTAAAAACTCAGTTGCCTTAATATTCATAAACTACATTTTATATTCACAATTACATTTGATCTTCCCAAATTGAGGTGGGAGGCTGAAGAAGTATTCTTGTTCCTCTTTTACCCAGGAGGAAATGCCATGCAAATTGCAAGTGGCAGAAGTGAGATGTGAAACCAGAATTCTGCCCTATGTTCAGGGTTCCTTCTGATACCCTGGCTTCTTGCCCCAACCTTCTATCTACTCTATTCTACATGCCTAGTGCTCAGTAAAGGTTCCAGACTCTGACAAACTTAATCACTAGGCTTAACGTGATGGGATGTGAACTTGAGAGAGTGGAGTCTGATTTTCCATACAGGTTGCTGATTACTGTGTGGCGATTTGTCTGTATCCCTGACCATCCAGGCCCTTCAGATGTCTGAAAGACTTCCTTCTTCCTACTTCTCCACCTCTTTTCCTCATGATTTCTCAACTGTATACTTAAGAAAACTTCTTTCCAATTTCTTTGCCTTGAAATCAAAAACCTCTGTTCTTTCTCTATCTAGCTTTTCTAGATGAACTGCCTAGATTGATTGATTTTATTGCTTCATAATCCCAAAGTCAATTCGAATATTCTGGCAAAGTTAGGTGGAAATCGTTTATTTACCCACAACTTACTACCAGTGTCCTCTGTATACAGTGAAGATTTTTCTAAACGTTCTCAGGAAGCTATTAGCACGTTTTACTCAGGAGCATTCTTACACGTGTTCAGTTCTTAATGTTTGCAAAGCTCTATCACATAAATCTTTTCACCCGAATCTCACACTAACACATGAAATAAACAGTTCTGGTATTATTACACCTTCAGGTCAAGTGATTAAAGAACGAACTTGCCTCAAGTCACATGACTCACAGCAGCCAAGTGGCAAATCCCAGGTCAGGCTCCAAAACTCCTCAGCCTCTTTTCATTGTGACCTGAGACCTCCTCTAACTCCCTACAAAACTGTTTTTTCAGTTGGAAAATGAACAAAATATGGAAAAGTATTTGGTAAAAATGTAATGCTCATGGTATCTATATTTTGGAAACTGACTGCAATTCTAAAGTGAAGTTATCGAAAAACAGTCTGTGTCTTGTTCACATACAATATTTTGTAATTGTTAAAGAAAATAATAATACATCCATCAAAAACCACTTAATGAAAATCTGCTATAATCCTTGCACTAATATACAGATCTTTGTACACAAACGCTCATTCTGCAAATTTTTTCTGCTTTGAACAGATTTCAGTAACACCTGTAATTTTTTAAGAATCCTACTTGCTACTGTTTATGCAAAATAATGATAGCAAAATTCTAAATCATAATAGAGCCAAGTTTTGAAAACTGAGACTATTTCATTGTGTAAATATTTTTCTTTTACCAACTAGAATTATTCTTTAACTCAAACCCTCCCTGCTGGGCAGTGGCCTTCCTCTCAATGGGCTCCAGCAGGATGAGGATGGCGGTGTCATCACTCTCGTCAAAGAGACGGAAATGGAGAAGTCCAGC